AGCGAGTGTCACTAGTAATAATCAGATATATAGAGATTAGAAACCCATGTGCAAACACCTTCATGTTAATTGTATGAAAAGTGAAGTTTTCTGTATGAAACTATGTATTTTAATAATGAAATAGAAATCTTTTTTAAAGGTTAAAACCATAATCTTAGCTCTGGAAATTGTTATGGGATATGTCAATGCTGTTGTAATGAAATGCTTCTTCTAAGTATGAGGTTATTAGGTTCAACAGCAAACCTAAAAAATTTTATAGCCCCTTTTGAATGAGATGTATCTTTACTTTGGAAACTGTTATTGTAAAGATTTAATTTAATGAAATGCTTCTTCTAAATTTTTTTTAAATATTAAAAAAAAAAAGATGGACACAGTAGCATGTGTTTGCAGTCCCACAAGTCCTGAGATGAGATAGGAGGCCAAGATGAGAGAACCCTGGAACCTTGCACACCACCTAGCCTGCTGTAGACAGTGTTAAGCAACAGAGCCCCGTCTCAAAGTGGAAGGCAAGGACCAACACCTGAGGTGTTCTGACCACTATACACAAGCCTAGCATATATGAGTGCCTACACTCACAAGAGCACCTACGCATATCATGCACGTACTCAAAAATAAGCATTAGAACTCTTTGGATATTGACTTTTCTAATGCTTGTTGAGTTAATAGGCAAGAAAAATAGGTGTTAACTAAAGAAAACAGGGTAAACCATGGTGGACATAGAATATTGACAGGACGAGCCAAAAAATAGTGAGTTCTTTTACAACCCAATGTACATTCCTTAAAAGTTCTGTGCCGTTCAAAATTTTGTGATGAAAACTACATGAGGCTTTTTGGGAAAATGAGGTTATGGAACAACACACACACACACGAAAAGCCTTCAGCAAGGATGAGAAAAGGTAGAAGCAGTGACACATAGTCCAATATAATGTTAAATAACTAAAAATAGAAAATAACTTTGCCATTGACCCTGAAAAGACTTGGCATTTCCATGTGTGAACTGCTGCTGGGCATGGTGGAGGAGGTTTTGAAAATGGACAGGGAAGTGTAACACTGGGTGTGGATAGGTGTGGTGCATAATGTCTAGATGTGGATGACAGATGTTTGAAGTATGTGCAGTTGATATATTCCCATGTGGCTAGGTGATCTTTTTGCATTTACCCCAGACATTTTCATTTTTAAATACAATTGTTTTATTAAATTTTTGAGACGTTCATACATACATACATTGTATTTTGATCACACTGACACACTATTCCTCTCCCTAACTCCTCCCAGATCCTCTTCTCATCTTTTCCCAGTGTTACATCTTTTCTTTATAGCACAGTCCAGTTGGTACTGCCCATATACACATGGGTGTGGGGCTATCCAGTGGAGCATGGTTGACCTACCAGGGTCCACACCCTTAAGGAAAACTGGTACTCCTCCAGAAAACATAATCTGTCAGTAGTTCCTCAATTAGGGATGGGGGCTTCTGAGCCCCTTCCACCTCCATGCTGGAATATTGACCGGCTTGTTCCTGTGCAGGTCTTGTGTAGGTGACCATAGCTGTTTTAAGTTCATGAGTGCATTGTCTGTCATGTCTAGAAGACACTTTTCCAGTTTGGTCCTCCTCAGCTTCTGGCTCTTAAAGTCTTTCGGCACCCTCTTCCCTGATGGTCCCTGAGCTCTGGGCACAGGGGCTGTAATATAGATGTCCCATTTATGGCTGAGCACTCCACAGACACTTACTATGTGCACTTTGACCAGTTGTGAGTTTCTGCATTAACCACTGTAAATCACTGCACAAAGAAACGTCTCTGATAAGGTCTGACAGCTGCACTGATCTATGGACATAGAGACATGAATTTAGAGGGCAGTGTGATGCTGTGTCCATTTAACAAAATAGTAGTACAAACTACTAGTGGGGCCTATGAGTTCCCCAGCCATGGGCTCTTCACTAGATTTGCAGTATCAGGCATGCCTTTCCTCCTGTGGAGAGGGCCTTATATCCAATCAGAAAATGGTTGATTATTCCCATATTGTCTGTGCCACTGTTGTACCTATTGGTGTGTGTTGTGCTGGTTATTACTGTAGCCCACACAGTTCGTAGTTGGATAAGACTGTTGGTGACTTTTTTCCCCCCAACAGCCTGCATAGGACCTTCTAGTAGGGAGGAAACTTTCTGGTCAGTATCACCTTGATTTCTCCATGTCCTGTGACCAAATTGTCTGGTGTCTTCAGTAATAGGGTTTTATCATCAAGTTATGGTAGGCTACCAAGAGCTATTAAGTTGAACCAGCCTAAGCTGGGGACCTGTGTACATTGGCTCTGAGGCACTTGTTTGAGAATTCCAGTACTAAGTAAGGGTAGAAGAACTCCACAGTTCTAGTGGGGCTTTTCTCCTGTGTGCCACTGGCCTGACATTACCTCCTTCAGTGTGTCAGTCAAGATGCTTCATGTGGATTGTCATTGGTGCCTATTTTATTTTATTTATTTATTTTATTATTTTATTTTTTGATCTTTTTGAGACAAGGTCTTCCTGCAGCTCTAGCTGGGCTGGAGCTCATTATCGAGACGAGGCTGGCCGTGAACTCAGATCTGCCTGCAGAGTGCTGGGATTAAAGGTGTGCGCCACCACACCTAGCTTCCTGGGTGGCTATTTTAATGTTTATTAGAAACATATATGACAAGCTTATTAAAACTATTGCTTCAAGGGCATATTGCTCTGGAAATAGCGCTCAACTGAGAGTGGTGGTACACTGCTTCACCTTGGAGCCTGTTGGAAATGATGGGGTGGGAAGTTCAGGTTGTCTATAGCAGAGGGGTTCTACTGGTGATTAAGTGGTGGGGCATCAGAATGCTAACTGTCCTGAAACCTTGTGTGTACAATAATCCTAAGATACAAACAATGCTCCCATGAGACATTTGTTAAGCTAAAGAGGAGTGACAGAATTGAAAATCATTTAAATAAAAATGTTGACTTTAAAAACCTGTATTTTATATGACTTTGGTAAGAATGATAACACTCTGTAGTTGGTGGACATTTGAAAAACACTAAGGATAGTCGGTAGTAGCTGTGAGCTCTATTGCGGAAATCTTAGGTAGTGTCACATGACCTGCATCCTCAGCCTCTGCAGATGTTATCTTACTTAGCCATGGTTAATGCTTCTTGAGGCATTAGCCTAGGCTAGCACAGGCTCTCAACCTACTGCACAGTGTGGTCATATAAAGAAGCTTATAAAAGTCTGGATGCTCAGACCATACTTCAAACCAATCATATCATAATCTCTGATAGAGGGGTGTAGTCTTTTTTAAATCAAGGTTTTAGTCAGCATACGTAGAAATCAGTTTGTGATATTTTCATACTCATAAATCATATGGTGTTTTTATTTGCCCCCATACCTTCTCCCTCTACCCCACATGGCATCTTGCTGGTTCCCTTTCTCCCCTGAAGTAGCCTCCCCACGTCCTGTTTTCACAACATATATTCCATTGCCCTCTCTTGTTTCTGCCTCTCCATCGGTCTAGGTCTCCTCTTCCCTTCTCATAGTTCTTTTCCACTTCATGTCCTATCTATACATACATGCATGTATGTATGCACGCATGGATGCATTTAAATCTACATCCCACAAATGAGAGGAAACATAATGATCTCTAGTTTCATCCATTTTTCTTCCAGCATCATAATTTCATTCTTTATACTTGAATAACATCTCATTGTTTCTATGTACCACATTTTCATTTTCTGTCAGTGGATGAATATCTAGTCTGCTTCTGTATCTTGACTATCGTGATGGTACCCAGGACTTCTGCTGTGTGTTACACAAGCACTCCACCACTTGTTTTCTTGATGATAGCCATTCTGACTGGAGTGAAATTAAACCTGAAAGCGGTTTTAATGTACATTTCCCTGGTGGCCAAAGGTATGGAACTCTTTTTATTACACAACATGGTACATAAGTGTCCCTGCAGTGTGCTGACTTAGAATCCTTTGTGCATATGCTCTGGAGTGGTTATAGCAAAGTCATGTGGTAGCTCTGTTTTTAGTGTGTTGAGAATCCCACACTTACTTACATAGTGACTCTTGCCAGTCCTCTCCCACCAGCCATGTTTAAGGCCTCCCGTCCCCACATCCTTGCCAGCGTTTGTTGTCTTTTGTTTTCTTTATTTTTTGTAATTTATTTTTGAGACAAGGCCCTGACAAGCGACCCTCTATATTGACCCTCTTTTCACCTTCTTGAGTATTGCTTCAATGCGGTTGATCAGGAGAATGAATTTTGTCTGTAGATAGCATCATTTTGTCCTGGTGTGAAGCTTGCTTTGAAGTACCTCATAAAGCACCGCAGGACTGCTGTCTTCAGTAGTCAGTCATCACAGCCCACTGAGAGGCTCAGATAAGATTTAAGTGGTGCTTGTAGCTTCTGATTCTAACATGCCTAATGTTCTGAGTACTCACACAGAGTCCAGATTGTGATAAGCCAGTGACGGTTTGCACAAATTTTAAAACTTTGAATTAAGAAAATACGATTTTCTTCTTAAATTTAATCCTGAGGTAAAGGCTGCCATTAAACCTCCACCACAGGGTCCTCAAGTAAATCAAGTTAACAAGTCCTTAGGTAGTTTCTGGTAGTAGCATTTTTCAGCAGTGCTTGGTTCCTATGAGTGTGCGTTGCCTCACGCTGAAGAAACTATATCCTCCAACAGGTAGATTGTTCTTGGCTAAACCTTTGTTATCTATATTACCAGTGAATTATTTCCTGGTTTAAAGTAAAAAAACAGCCCCAGCTATTTGTGGTATTTTTGTCTTGTGCCTTTGGCAAGACCTTTACCAGAGCTTTGCCATTTGTAGTTAAGTGAGATTATTTTTTTTTAAGTGGGAGGGGTTGAAATGATTCACTGGAAAATACTAGCAGATCCTTCAGGAACAAGACAGCTCTAGAAACATTTGTATTTGATGTCATGGGCTGGTTGTGAGTGACAAGAAACAAAAAGGTAAAATTTGTTCCTTAAGATTTTCTACCTTGAAAACCAGAAAGGTATTAATGCTAGAAAGGATGACGGATAACTTTCCTCTTAGAGTATGAGTTGGAGCCATTGAGGTTCGTAGGTCATGTAAAACCCAAAAGGCGCTTTGGTTGTGTTTAGAATAGGTGTTGGATTTCCTAATGAGTTTATGTGGTAAACATTTCTGAGATGCCTTGGAAAGGGGACTAGTTCCTACATACTAAGTAAGTCTGTGGGGCCTATGTAAGTGATTTCATAAGCTGCTGAATTTACCGTGTCTCCACTTAAAGATGTATGTTTTAACCTAAACACTATTGGTGTGGGGGAACCCTCCCAGCCTTCCCTTTGTGGTTTGCCTGAAACATGATGTCTTTTTTGTTGTCGTTGTTATTCCTTTTCAGAAAGAAGACATAGCTCATCTAGCAAGCCTTCTTTGGCCGTTCCTCCCAGCTCAGTATTTTCCTTCTTCCCTTCTCTGTCCAAAAGCAAAGGCGGCAGTGCAAGTGGAAGCAGCCGGTCTTCCAGTGGAGGGGTCCTTTGTGCACCCTCATCAAGTTCCAAGTTACTGAAATTGCCCAAAGAGAAACTGCAGCTCAGGGGGACCATCAGGCCCATGCATCCCATTCAGCAGACTAAAGTCCCCCATGCTAGAGTGTAAGTATGGCCACATGGGTTTGGAAAGCTTACCTGTTAGGGTAAGCCCTGTGTGAGTGCCATCACAGAGTGCCCATGAGGCATGGGTAAGCATTCACTTGGAGAATTCAGGTACACATTGTTGGTTCTTTTTATGTCCCTATCATTGCATAGAAAACTGTTCAAATGAGTAATCACAGTAATCATAAGGCCAGTAGTATTTATTGATCTTTTCCTCTGTAGAGTTACTGAAAATGAGCTGTATCTGTGTGATACCATGTATTGATCATAGCATCTCTGTGGAGTAGGTCTTTCCTCTATTTTCCACGTGCGAAAAAAGCCGCTTAGGGCAAGATGCATTGTGTGAGATGCCCTCAGGTCTGACAGGCCTGGTTCAGGTCCCACTTCTGTTACTTCACAGTGGAAGCAGGACACCGCTTCTCTGGGGGTCTAGGAGTATCCCCACTGCAGGTTTAGGGGGTACTTTAGTTAGGGTACTCTTGTGTACACTCACCCAATGGAGACAGGAAATTAATGAATGGCTGCTGACACTCCTGAGCCTCTGTTAGTAGTAGTAGACATTAAAGAAGGAAGATCCCCAGTGGCCCCTCTGGGAGTCTTGGTGGCCTGCAAAGCAAATAGGGAAGCACAGCTTTCTCTGCCAGCTTTGGATTCGTGTCACAGTAGTGATGAGGAAGGACTGGAAGAAGTTCACAACTTACCTGTAAGACTCCGCTAAGTTTCCAGAGTGGATCTAGAGGCTCCGGGGTGGGGGGAGGGGGGCTGGCTCACAGAGGTCACATGAAGGATAGAGCCATGACTCCGATAGAAACATGTCTTGCTTTGTCATGATATCTCTCAGCCTGCTGGCAGGTAGCTTTTCGTTGGCCTGCTTCCCTTTAGGGGGGAGGTGTACACATTTCAGTCCCAAGACCTGATGATCTGGTTAATCTCAGGGAAGGGTCTAGTACCTGATATTACTCAAGAACCTTGCCAGCTGGGAGAGGCCATGACACCAAGCAGTAGTTTTGTTGCTGCCAGGCTACTCCAAGTACAGCTCTTGGGGCTATTCGTCCTTGTTGCTAGGCCCCCAGCCTCTGCTCATCTGTCAGAAGTGCTGTACAGGAAGCTTGTCTTTCACTTCTCTGTCTTGAAGCTAAAGAAAATGCCAGGGCAAGTCACTTGCCAGCTTAACAGCTATTAGAGCACTAGCTCCAACAGAGTTTGCAAAAGCTCCTCAACCCAGACCTCCTTTGTGTCCAGCAAGGGCTCTGAGGAGGGACCAGGTAAGCCATTGGGGTCTTATTGACATCATCATTTTTAGCAAGTAAAATGATAGCGTGAATAAGGTCACAAGAGAAGTCATCGTTACATTAGTGGTGCAAGTCCTCATCACCAACGTTACCAGGTACAGCTGTCCTAAGCTTACGTCATAGGAACCTTTGTTCAGGGCCTGGAAGACTAGCGCATCCGTGACACAGCACCTGCTAATTGAACGTGGGTCTTCCTCGGTGGCAAAAGCAGAAGGGCTTCCAGGAGCTGCTCTTGCATTGTTAGGCATATGCTTGGCATTGTTTTTGAATTCTCCTAAGTCTTGAGTGACATTTGATCAGTCAGACATTTGTTTTAATGATTCCTTTCTTAAAAATGATGTTTCTGCTGGGTGAGAAAGAGTTGATCTTTAAGGGAGAGAGTCTAGATAGGCTGACTACACCCCATTGGATGAAATTGTACCGAGGTACATCTGGGTACACTAACTTAACTTGATGTGCTCAAAGCATGAAATCTGGTGGGGTGGGGGGGCTATCAAGTGGTGCGGATGGAGGAGGTGGAATAAAAATGATTAAGATGTTTTGTATGATATGCACAAAAATTTAATAAATATATATAAAAATTTAAAAAGAAGGAAAAAAATGATGCTTCTTATAAAGTATCCTGTAAGGGTTCTGTAAGATGATCTTTGGTTCTTTCAGAACTTTTGCTTTCTTATAGAAATTGTATTGACTGCCAAGTCTTAAGTTTTCCATAGATCCATGTGCAAAATGTTTCTGAAATGGTAAAAGCAGATAAATTTGATCTACTGGGCTTTTTGTCAGAAGGGCTAATAAACTTCATAAATATTGAACGCCACATAGTTTTTCTGTGATAGTTCTAAGAAAATGTAGAAGGTGCCTTCTCGGGGCCTGGCCCTCTGCATACTCTGGCAGACCCAGGCTTTGCTCTCATCCCTCTGGTCCCCATTCACCAGGGGCCATAGGACACTTATGCACTGCATTCCTCCTCCAGCAGCATGACGCCCTCTGTGAAGGTGGAAAAGATGCATACGAAGTTGGATGGCACACTACTGAAATCTACAGTGGGGCCAACCTGTCCTGCTACTGTGAGTTCCTCAGTCAAGTCTGGCCTTAACTGCCCCTCAATACCAAAGCCAACCTTGCCTTCACCTGGTCAGATTCTGAATGGCAAAGGGCTCCCTACCCTGCCCACTCTGGAAAAGAAATCTGAAGACAGTTCTAATAACAGGAAGTTTTTAAATAAGAGATTATCAGGTAACTTCACAGTTTTCTCTTAATGTTTCAGTGTATATTAAATGGGCATGAACAGAGGGTAAATGAAAGTCCTTTTTTTAAAACTGGTCAACTGGAGCCTTAGGGAGATTTCTTCAGTAGTACATCTGTCGTCTTCACACTTCCTTTTAAGGAGCATGCTTGGATGTGTGTACATATGTGCGTGTGTAGCGTAATGGAAATTAGCTCTTTGTGGTTTTTCTGAATGTAAATATAGTAATGCTGATGAAAAAAAATGCTTTGCCAGTCATCTGGTAGCAGTGGTGGTGTTTCATCTGAGGCTGCTGATCATGGCAATGCCCACATCTCATCTGTTAACAGTCATTGTACATTTTATTCCAACTATAATTTGTATATCTCGAGATTTTGCCTATTAAAAAATGAAGAGAGCATTTCATACACCTACTGTAATAATGTTTGTGTGCTCTTGACAGAAAGAGAGTTTGATCCTGACATCCACTGTGGGGTCATTGATATGGACACCAAGAAGCCCTGCACCCGGTCTTTGACATGCAAGGTGGGTGCCTTCTGAAGGCTGGTATGCACAGGGCCCTTGGCAGTAGCACACTATTCCACATCTCAGACACAGGGGAGCCAATGCTCTCTGGCTGTCCTCTTAGTTGTGTAAATGAAATAAACTGGTTTGATGACTGAAAACCTCAAGTGGACAAAGTGTGATGTGTGTTACTATAAACTGTACATTTGAGAGGTTTTGTTTTACTTTTTTAAATGTTTTTATTACATTTTGTATTTATTTTGTGTGCATGTCTGTGTATGGATGTATGCACCACAGTGAACTTGTGCAGGTCAGAGGCAACTTCTGGGAGTCCGTTCTCTCATTCCACCATATGTACATTTCTCAGGGGGGTTTGGAGGCAACACATCTCCCTCTGGCTTCCCTAAGCCCCCAAGATCCATTCATCTCTACTCTCTCTCCCCCCGTATCCAACCAACCTCCCTCCTCCCTCCCCAGTCCAAGTGTCCCCAATATTCCCTCCCTCCCCTCAATAACACCCACCTCCCGCCATCCCCCCTTCTCCTGAGTTCCCTCGTCCCCCACCATCGCCCTCTACAGGTCCTTCCCTCTTACCCTCCCAGCCAAACACTTCCACTTTCCCCACCTCCCCCCAGTAACATCCACTTTCTGGTTCTTTCTTTTCCTTTACCTCCATGTTTCCTTTCCATTTTCCTGGCTCCTGGTATAACATCAGGATATATACCCACGTATACAAGGGATTGGTGCACAATCCACAAATGAGGGAGAACATATGTCACTTGCTTTTCTGCATTTGTTACTTCACTTGGTATAACAGTCTCTAGTGCCTTACATTTACCTGCAAACTTTATAATTTCACGTTTTCTTACTGCTGAGTAGAACTCCATTGTGTAAATGTACCACATTTTTATTATCCATTTGTCAGTTGAGGGTCATTTAGGTTGTTTCCATCTCTTAGCTATTGTGAAGAGAGCAGCAACAAACATGGATGTACAGGTATCTCTACAGTAGGATGAGTCCTTTGGGTATATGCCAATGAGTGGTATAACCGGATCATTTGGTAGGTTCATTTTTAGTTTTTTGAGAGTCTTCCACACTGCTTTCCGTAGTGGTTTCACGAGGTATTCCCACTAGCGGTATTTGGTGCTTTTTATTCTCTTGATCTTAGCCAGTCTGACTGGGGTAAGATGGGATCTTAAAGTGGTTTTTATCTGCATTTCTCTAATTACTAAGGATGTTGAGCACTTTGTAAGGTGTGTCTTAGCCATTTTTATTTCTTTGAGAACTCTGTGTTCACGTCTACAGCCCATCTTTGTATTGGGTCATTTATTTTGTTTCTTCGTTTTTTGTGTATTCTGAATAGTAATCCTCTATTGAATGTGTAACTGGTAAAGATTTTCTCCCACTCAGTGGGTTTCCTCTTCACTTCCTTGGCTGTTTCTTTTCTATACAGAATCTTCGTAGCTTTCTGAAGTCCCGCTTACTGATTGTTGACCTTAATGCCTGAGCAGCTGATGCCTGATTTAGAAAATCCTTTCCTACTCCCATATCTTGGAGGGTCTTCCGCCTATGTTTTCTTCCAGCAATTTAGACTTTCAGGTTTCACACTGAGGTCTTTGATCCATTTGGAGTTGACTTTTGTGCAGGGTGAAAGATAAGGGTCCAGTTTCACCCTTCTACAGATGGAGATCCAGTTTTGCCAGCACCATTTGTTGCCGATGCTGTCTTTCCTCCATTGTGTTTTCTTGGCATCTTTGTCAAATATCAGGTAGCTGAAATTACATGTACTCATGTTTGGATTGTCTGTTGTGTTCTACATATCTACATGTCTCTTTTTGTGCCAGTACAATGCTGTTGTTGTGACTATAGCTCTGTAATATAATCTAAGATCTGTAATATAATCTGAGATCAGTGTTGTTCTTTTTGCCCAAGATTGCTTTGGCTATCCAGGGTCTTTTGTGATTCCATATGAATTTTAGGATGATTTTGTCAAACTCCGTGAAAAATATCATGGGTATTTTGATTGGGATTGCACTGAATCTATGCACTGCTTTTGCTAAGATGGTCATTTTCACAATATTAATTCTACCAATCCATTAGCATGGTCGTTCTTTCCATCTCTTAGTATCTTCCTCTATCTCTTTAAAGATTTGAAATTTTCATTGTAGAGATCTGTAATGTCTTCAGTTAGGTTTATTCCTAAATATTTTATTTTTCATGTTTGACTGGGAGGGTTTCCTTGAATGCTTTCTCTCATTGCATATTATTGGTATATAGAAAGGCTACTGATTTTTGTAAGTTGATTTTGTAACCTGCCACTTTACTGAAAGTATTAATCATTTCTAACAGATTTCTGATAGAATGTTTGGCATCTCTTATGTATAACATCATATTGTCTGCAAATAGTGATAATTTGACCTTTTCCTTTTTAATTTCCTTCTCGTCTTACTGCTCTCACAAGAGTTTTAAGCACTGTATTGAAAAATATTGGAGATAGTGGACAGCCCTGTTGGGTTCCTGATTTCAATGGGAATGTTTCCAGTTGTTCTCCATTTAGAATGATGTTGGCTATGGGGTAGTTGTATATAGCTTTAATTATGTTAATTATGTTGGTTCCCTCCAGACCAATTCCTTCTAGGACTTTTAACATGAATGCATGTGGGATTTTGTCAGAGGCCTTTTCGTTTATTGAACCATTCTTGCATCTCTGAAATAAAGCTAACTTGATTGTGGTAGATGATGTTTTTGATGTGTGTCTGAATGCAGTTCATATTTTGTTGAGTATCTTTGCTTCTTCTGTGTTCATTAAGGATGGGGCTTTAGGTTTTTGTGTGTGTGTGTGTGTGTGTGTGTGTGTGTGTGTGTGTGTGTGTGTGTGTGTCTGTCTGTCTGTCTGTCTGTCTGTCTGTCTGTCTTTACCTGGCTTTGGTTACAGTGATACTGACTTCATAGAAGGAGTTTGGGAGTTCTCTCTTTGTTTCTATCTTTCTGAATAGTTTAAGCAGTATTGTTTTTCCTATGATATGCCACGTGGAGTTTCTGTTCTGGTCCTATCTCATTGGTGTTCTGTGTGCTTCTTCAATCTGTATAGGTATGTCTTTCCTTAACTTAGGAATGTTTTCTTTTATAATCCTGTTGAAGATCTGGTCAATGCCATTCACCTGAGATTCTTCTCCTTTCTGTATGTCTATGATGCATAGATTTGATCTTCTCAATGTCCCACATTTCCTGTGTATTCCATTCCTGTGGTTTTTTGGTTTTTTTTTTAATTTTACATAGACTTTGCCTAAGGAGTTCAGATCTTCGACATTGTCATCAGTCTTGATACTCTGTTTCTTGTTTCATTCATTCTGCTTGTGAGCTTGTCCTGTTGTTTCCAATTGGCTTTTTGAGTTTTTCAATTCATGTTCATTTCAGTTTGGCCTTTATTTAATATTTCTATCTCTTTTGTAAATTCACTTTTCAAACCCTGAATTGTTTTTGATATTTCTTTTTGAAAATATTTATTATTTTTATTTTATGTATATGCGTGTATTGCCTGCATGTAGGTAAGTGCACCTGTGTCGTGCAGTGCCCACAGAGGACAGAAGAGGCTTTCGGATCCCTTGGAAATGGAGTTATGGACAGTTGTTAGCTGCCATGTGGGTACTCGGATTCGAACCTGGGTATTCTGCAAGAACAGCCAGTGTTCTTAACCATTGAGCCATCTCTCTTTCATTAAGCCACATATTTGTATGTTCTTGAGCTTCACAGGTTTATGCCTGGCCTATATGAGTTCTTTGAGTTGTTTGTGTTTTTTTTTTCAGTTCTTTGATCATCTTTATGATTGTTCTTTTAAATTCCTCATCCGGGGTTCCTCAGGGTGGTTGTCATTGTAGTACACTTCTATGGGACTGGTGGGTTTTCTTGGGGACATGTTCTCTTGGTTATTCCCTATTATTTGTTTGGGCAAATGGATGTTCTTTGTTGGTTGTGTGTCCAGCAGGAACTTCTATTTTGCCTTTGTTTAACTGAATTGTGGTTCTGTTTATATTTGTATTGCTTGGTTGCTTTTTGCTATGGTATGGAAAATAAATTGGTATGTGTTTCAGGTTCTTGCAGAGTAGTAGACTGTTCTGGGTACTAGGGGTACTACGTAGGCTGGTCAGGACAGGAGGAGGACAATAGGAGGTCTGGACTGTGTCAGATCAGGAGCCTGTGGGATCTCTGCTAGGGGATTTACATAGTCTGGGTTAGGAAGCTAGTCCAGGGATCTGAGGCAGAGGAAATGAAGTAGGCCTGGGTCCAGGGTTAGCAGTGGATAATTTGGAATAGGTTGGAAGTGTTGAGGCTGCAGAGGAATGGAATTGTAAGTAGTGCTTTGATGAACATGGGAATGCTAAAATCTCTCCCAAGACCCTGATTTCAGTTCATTTTGGTAAATACCCAGATGGTAGGATTGCCTGAAGGGTTTTATTTAGCACAAAATCCACAGGGAATATTGTTGCATTCTTCCTGTGCCTTCGTTGCTAGGTGTCCTGATTTTGTAGGGTTATACATTTTTCTGCCATCTTCCTTTTCAAACAATATGTTCTTTGCTTTTAAGGGTGCCATTGCCATGGATAGCAAGGTGCTTAGTCTCTGTGACATTAATGTGTGTCTTCAGCCCCGATTGGAAGTTAGTTCCATGTAGGACTGGTAGAAAATGCAGCCTCCAGTTAGGCTGCACCTCTATAGGCTTCCCATAATTACTGCCGTCTCCTGTTTTACATCCTCCGTCTTTTTTTTTTTTTTTTTTTTTTTTTTGAGACATGGTCTCCCTGTAACCCCAGCTGGCCTAGAACTCACAATGTAGACCTTGATCTTACAGAGAGCTCACCTGCCTCTGCCTCCTAGATATTGGAATTGAAGGCCTTCTCCAGTTTTTTGCATTACTTTTGGTCTGATCCTGTTTGGTCCCTTAAGACTAAACCTGCCTGAGGGCCCTACCGTGCACATCCGCAAGTTGCTGCCATGTTTCTTCTGTCTTAGGCATAGATTGTTGTATATCCTTAACACAGGAGGCTTGCTGCTGTTTGCCCTGTCAATCCCTGTTTTCTACCTGCTATCTTCTCTGTGTCTGTCTAGTATCAGTGTGCCTCCATGAAGAGGGATTTGTGACTCTCAGCCTTTGTCCATCTGGTCCTTGTACCTGATACTTTGTTTGTTGCGTACATCTCTGAGTGCAGGCCTTGTTCCAGGTCCCAGAAGAATATGGAGTTTAAAACAATCAAGTGTGTTTTCTGTACTTGTGGACCGTTGTTTATGATGCTGGAAGTGGATTTGGCTAAGAATGACTCATACGTATAAATCACTGTTGATTTATGGACAAGAGAGAGGCCTGAGTTATGAAATCTGTAGTAGGAAGATTGGCCTTGAAGGCTTCCCAGCCACAGGAACATTGGGCTGAAACTGGATTCTGATTTATGTGGGCAGAGAGATGGGAAACGTGGAGGAAACAAGAATGAATGGCGTAAACACCTCCTAGATGGCTAGGAGGCTGAGCAGCAAGAGGGAGAAGGCAAGCAGTGCATGGTACCCTAAGCAATAGTGGGCAGCACACAAAGGTCTTAAGGCATGCAGGGCTTCTGGAAGCCGACTTACATAGTCATCTATTTGCCTGTGTCTTAGGCAACTCCTGCAGAGTCCTGATTGTTGTGGGTGGGTGGTAGTCATGGGATTTCTATTTGGAATGTTCTTCAAAGCTCACTGGGAACCCTGTTTACTCTTTCAAACAGACCTGGGACAATATCCACTGCCTACTTTCTTCACCTGAGACATTGAAAGATGAGGAGAAGTTTCTCCATCTGCCTAGGGAGACAGACAGTAGTGGTGCATGTGCACACATTTTTTCAACACATGCTGGAGGGCCATTGTCCTTACATGCCTTTGGTTTGAAGCATTTGCCCAATGGCAGATGTTCCTCTAGGTACTTATATGGTGATGGACAGAACAGAGTTCCTGGTCTTCATTTAAGTTACTTCCTTGCAAATATATTACATGCTACCAGTTTTTAAGTAAAAACTGAAAAATAGACACATTTATCTGTGTCATGTTAGCTTTTGGGTGGACTTAATTTTCATTATGTCCAGTAAGGAGTGAGCTTAAGCTTCTCAGTTCCAGTGTAAGTTTGAAGAGTGTAATTTCCCAGGGTGTTTTTTTTTTTTTTTTTTTTTTTTTCCGCTGGCCTGGAATTTACAGAGATCCACCTGCCTCTGCCTCCCAAGTGCTGGGACTATAGGCTTGCACCATCATGTCAGGCATATGTTTCTTAAGTTTGTTGCTAACATGCTCTGTAAACCTGTAGAGCACTGTGTTTGTAAATGTAGTCATGACCACATATAAAGGGTATTGTAACTTAAAGAAGGAAGCATTTAGATAGATGAATTCACTTTTGTTCATGATAAGTGATAGGGACACTCCTGTTAGAGGACTCATCTGCCCCTGGAGATTGGTATCTCCATGCATTTCTACAGACAGTGGTGCCAGTAGTATGGGAGGAGATTGAGTAACTGGTCCTTGTGGAATCATTTTACTGTGATTGGACTTGACTTTTGGTAAGATTGGCCATTTCTTATGCTTCACACTTCGTCTCCTACTAGGAGTGGTCTTAAGCTTTGAGCATATAGGCTTTCAAAATGCCAGTGAGGGCTGGAGAGGTGGCTTACTACTTTAGAGCATGTACTGCTCCTGTAGAGGACCCAAGATCGGTTCCCACCACCCACTTTGGGTGGCTCTCAACCACCTATAACTCCAGCTCCAAAGGATCCAGCTTCCTCTTCTGACCTCCAAGGGCACCTGCACTCACATACACATACCCACAAACACACATACACATAATTTTAAAAGTCAGTGAATATCAAATGCATTTGGTACACAGACATTTTTTTCCCTTTTTTAATATTTTCTTTTTTTATTTTATGTGTATGAGTGTATTGCCTGTATGTGTATAAGTACACCTGTGTCATGCCATGCCCATGGAGGTTAGAAGAGAACATTGAATTTGGATCCCTTGGAAATGGAGTTTTGGACAGTTGTTAGCATGCATTTCTACAGACGGTGGTGCCAGTAGTATGGGAGGAGATTGAACTGGTGCTGTGCTGTAAGTCAAACCGAGGTCCTCTGCAAGAGCAGCCAATGCTCTTAAGTGCTGAATCATCTTTCCAGGCCATACATTTTCTTATAAGATGTGATTCAAGAGTTTTTATTAGCTGCCTTCTTTAAGCCAGTGCTACCCCAATTTGACCAACCGTACTCTGTGCCCATTTCCTATTTGGGAAATTCAAGACGAGACCTCAGGAACTGAGTACAGTTGCCCTACCTTCCTGTCTCTTCCTGTTCACATTGTTTTTCCTTCCTTGGTTCTTTGTTTTTCTCACGTCTTCCTTGGCTCTGCCAGCCTCCGTGTCTACGGTACTATGGCTTTGACCCCCTTCTCTCTTTACACATCACTTTCGTTGGAATAGAGGAAAGCAACTGTGTTTAACTTTTGGTTTCACACAGTTCAATCGTACTTTACCAATATGTTTTAAATTAACATTTAGATTTTATGTCATTACAAGAGTTTTTAAAAATGAAATTCATAAGAACCTTGATAAATTAGTCCTTCATGCCACAAAACATGAGTACCTGTTAGCTATTTGTATTTTGTGATACTTGATTATACACCAGGTGGCATGGCTAGTATTGCTCTTTTCCTCTGATGGAGTAACACATGTTCCTATAATTAGAGCCTACAGTATGTGATCTAGTTTGGCTAATGAGAAAAGATTTCCAGTTTACTAACTGTTGAGTCTGTGATAATGGTATAGATTTGTTTTTCCACACAGCAGATTAACCTTTTGTTTTTGTGTCTGCGTCTGTGTTTGTTTTGTGTCTGTCTGCCTATAGACACATTCCTTAACCCAACGGAGGGCTGTTCAGGGTAGAAGAAAACGATTTGATGTGTTATTAGCCGAGCACAAAAACAAAGCCAGGGAAAAGGAATTGATTCGCCATCCAGACTCTCAGCAACCATCGCAGCCTCTCAGGGACCCGCATCCCACCCCTCCTAGAACGTCGCAGGAGCCACACCAAAATTCTCATGGAGTGATTCCTTCAGAATCAAAGCCTTTTGTAGCTAGTAAACCTAAACCTCATACCCCTAGTCTTCCAAGGTAAGTTAAGCCTCCAACTCCATTTCTCTCCTTTAGAGAATGGGCTTGTAGATACTGTGTGCCCACGTGTCCCCTTCTCTACTACCTGTACACTATGTCGTCAAGAAATCTGCATCATTCTCACTATGGAGAGTTTTATAAATTGGATCTTTAAAAAGATTTATTTTTAAGTGTGTGTGTGTTTCTGTCTGTTAGAGAAAGAGGGAGAGAATGTGAGCATGTGCACATACACGTAGGCACACAGAATTTAGAAGAAGGGGTCAGATCCCCGAGAGCTAGAGTTTGAAGCAGTTGTGAGCTGCCCAGTGGGTGCTGGGAACTGAACTCGGGTCTTATGCAAGAGCAGTGCAACATGTTCTCTACCATAGTACAACATGCTTTTTACCACTGAGCCATCCCTCTAGCCCTTAAATTGGATTTTCCTTCAAAAGGTTGTTAAAGCCATCAGTATATTCCAACCAGGACTCCTACTTAAAAATACAAGTAGTAGCATAAAGCCAGAATCATCTGCCCTGTGGTAATTCTTTTTAGGCTTCTCTTAACCTTATCAAGCAGGTCTGAGATTGGGTCCTGCCTTCAGGTGGTTTGGCAACAGTTTCCCATTTATTTCTTGCTTCTTGGCAAATTACAGTAGTGGGAGACTGCTGGGGCCAGGAATTCAGTCTGAGGTTTTGTAGCATCTGTCTGTCAGCTTCAGTGTTCATTCGTTCATTTGAGACACCTTGAACATATTAGCACATAGAAAAGCAGCAGGTTGGAGTGTCTTCACAAGAATTTGCCATGTGTATGCTGAGGCAGTGATGGGAAGGTGTATGTATGTTTCACCAAGCTGAGATCAAGGACTTTGGACCCATTTGCAGAGGGAGAGGTTTAGAGAATGGGGAGTTTCAGTGTTGGCTGTTCAGTCATTGGCCACAGGGCTTCTGCTGACTGTGTTAGCCCTTGGCTGCTTGCTGTTACTTAATTGTCACCCTCTTGTGTGCCTGATTCTTGGAATGACTGTGTTAAAGTGGAAACATCTCCTTCAAGATAACCTAAGAGTATACTTCAACCTGTCCCAACATGAGCCTTGTCATTTAGAAGCAATGCAGTGGAGAGTGGTCTGGCCTCAGATCAAGATTCCTCAGCATGTCCTTTGGCATCTTCACAATGAAGATTTTCCATATATAAAAAGTAAGCTTACTTGCTAGACCATCCTAGACTAGATGGAGGATGATGACATCACCACCCTTTAGTACTAGGCTTCTGACTATCCCAAGAGGTGATAATGCCCCCTGGCCTTCCTAGGTTATCCAAGAGCACTTGGCCAATTACTTTATCTGTTGCCTTCAAAAATAAGATACTGTTAATATTTGTGAAATTCGAAGAAGCAATCAAGGACATAATCCCATGTTCCATGTATGTTCCTTTTCTTCAGGAAGAGCAGAAGAGGGGCTTAGTCACCAACATGGCTATGGAAGGGAACAGTGGTTATCAGCTGGTTTGGGTTGTACTTGGCTGACAACTCAGCTTGGAATTGTGATGCTAAGGAAAGAGGTTCCTCCCCTTCCTTGCCACCTTGACCAGCTTGTTTCCCCGGGGCTAGCTGTGGCTCCTGGCCCCTCCCTCCTCTGGAGGTTTTTTTAGGTACTCCTGTCTGAATTGAGACTGCTGATGACCAGGCATTGCTCCTGATCTCCTGATCTGATCTGTGCTGTTCTTTTTATCCATTAAGGCCTCCAGGCTGCCCTGCTCAGCAAGGGGGGAGTACACCCATTGATCCTCCTCCTGGCCATGAGTCTCCACATCCTCCCCTGCCTGCCACTGAGCCAGCTTCTCGGTTATCCAGTGAGGAGGGTGAAGGTGATGACAAAGAAGAGTCTGTTGAAAAACTGGACTGTCACTATTCAGGTCATCATCCTCAGCCAGCTTCTGTAAGTTCTACAACTACCCCTGCAGTGATGTTCCCACACAGCATGGATAGAGCACTGTCTATGGAGGGAGGGGCCAGGGACCTTGCTGTGCCTGTAGTCAGGCAGCTCACATAGACGGGGCACAGAAGGGGAGTGCCCTTGTCATGCATGTACATGTGCATGTAGCTAGCATGTAGTCGGTCAAGCAGCTAAGGGTGCTGTGTGCTTAGTCTGGGGACTGCTCATGTCTTGCCTTCCACAAAAATTCAGGGTAGGGACTGTCATGCTCGGGCCTCACAGCTTCTTCTCCTTGGAGACATCTAATCTCAGCATTTCCTGACTAGTTCCTTCTTGAAGGTGAGACCCCTCCCAGGGCTGGCGTGGAGGTGGCAAGTGTGCCAGCTGTGCTTTCTGTTTCAGTTTTGCACATTTGGGAGCCGGCAGATTGGAAGAGGTTATTACGTGTTTGACTCCAGGTGGAACCGGCTTCGCTGCGCCCTCAACCTCATGGTGGAGAAGCATTTGAACGCGCAGCTGTGGAAGTGAGTGCCTGTTGGTGGGGAGGGAATGAGCTGACCTATCTCAGTGGTTATGTCTTCCTCTGATCTTGATGACCTCAGGTTCTGATTTAGGAAGAAATACTTATCTAAGTTTAAAAAGAATGGCTCTGGCTAACTGCAGGAAGAAAGTGCCTCTGCATATGTTCATCTGCTTGCTCGGCAGCCACAGCTTGTTCTGGGTGCTGAGATTCAAGGTGGATGGATTCTATAGTAAGGACCTCTAGTGTAGTTGGGCATGTGGGGAGACAAGTTAGTCAACAGAAAAGTAAAGAGATTACAGTTTAGCATCCTGGAGATGCTGGTTAATAAAGTGAGCACTGATACTTCATGGGGTGTTGACTGTGCAAGGAACCACTGAGTCTGCTTAACTATGAACTTTCACAATTCTTTGCTACATGACTGACTATCCCTGTTTTTTTAGATCATGAAACTGACATCCAAGGTCATAGTCGTAGGTTAGGGATTGGGTCAGTAGGGGCAGTTTGTTTCCAAATAAATACCAGGCTCTGGGATTCAGAAAGAAAGCCTTTCTGAGATGGATGGATCAGGGAAAAGTAACTAGGGTGTGAGTAGTATTAGGTGAAGCAGTTACAGAGGAGTCAGCTCTGTGAGGTCCTGAATCAGAAAAGGTGATGGCTTGCTTGAGAAACAGCAGGAAAGTGAGCACAGGACAAGGCAAGGCCCAAGGGAGGAGCAGGGCCAGAGGAGTGCACTGCTGCTGGTGAAGGTGCCAAGAGGAACCGTGGGCCGTGGGCTGAGTTGCAACTGTTATGTCATAGACACGTCCTCTGTAGCATTGTGTATGGTAACATTATAAGTTAGAAGAAAAAGGAAGGTTCCTTGGCCTAAAAAGTTTACCTCAGCATTCCTTCAGGTGAGCTTGTTTCAGGTGCAACACTCAGAGCCTGTAATGGACACCATCTTTTGGCAGCTGTCAAGGCAGGAGGTGCCTTTGTTTAATAGGGAGCATTTCTGAAGCCTATTGACCTGGGAATATCTTTTAGGGGACTGTTCTAGGAAAACACATGCTCAGTTGGATCTACTATCCTGAAGTGGACTGTCCAGTCATCCCCAGTTCATCCCAGGTCCACCATGTGGGCATCATTGACTCGTACCTTTTAAAATGGACTGATAGTGTGGCCATTTGATTTCCTGGCTTGGATTCTTAGTGCAGCGAGCTAAAGTTGGTCAGGGCCTTAGATAGTTTCTAGTCAAAAGAGCCATCTCCATGACCATTGATAGAACTTGGATTTGTGAACTTGGCAAAACAGTTGCCTCTGCCTTTAAATTTCACCTTTTTCCTGGTGCTTCCTGCATAAGAGCTTTTTCATCATTCTTTCTGAGGGAACATGATACCTTTCCAGTGAAAAAAATTTTTTATTATTTTTTATTTTGTGTATGAGTGTACTGCCTGCATGTATGTGAGTGCACCATGTCATACACGGAGGTCAGAAGAGGGCTTCGGATTCCCCTGGAACTGGAGTTAAGAACGGTTCATACCTGCCATGTAGGTGCTGGGAATTGAACCTGGGTCTTCCGCAAGAGCAGTCAGTGCTCTTAACCACTGAGACATCTCTCCAGCCCCCTTTCCAGTGAAAATTTAAACAGTCATTTCCTGGGGTCCTGATTTTTTTCCTACGTCATAGCCCTCCTGGGTACCTGAATCATGTATTTCTTCATTCTGCCTAGTGGCTCTTGCATTGCTTCATGGAGCCCACCAAAGCTGGGGTTAGGAAGGTCTTCTGAGAGTGTCCTCCCCATAGTATTGGTAAGGATTCTCTGCCAGCAGTGGAGTAAAGAGAGTTTGTTTTCCTAGTGGCCTGTGTGGAGAGGTTTTCCTCTTTGTGCCATGAACCTTTGAAAAAGCAGGTTTATGAGTTGACTTTTGATTTGGTTCTGGCAGTACCTGTTAGGATAACATCACCTATTTGTGCTCATTAGCATGGTCTCTGGTTTTGTTTTCTGACAGATCTCATGTATCCTAGACTGGCCTCAAACCCCCTATGTAGCTGAGGATGACCTTGAACTTCTGATCCTTGTCTCCACCTCCTGAGTGCTGGGATTATAGGTGCTGCACACTATGCCTTGTTTTATGTGGTGCTGTGTGTGCTTGGCAAGCACTCTACTGACTGAGCTGCATCCCTAGCCCCATGACTTCTGTTTCCAAAAGTCAGTGCATCGAAGGACATGTGTGGCTCATTGATGAGCTGGTAAACAGGCTAGAGGTGTATGGGAGAGTAGAGTGGGGTACCAGCCACAGGTGCTCTGGAAATGTTCCCTGGACGAGGGAGTGCTGCCAGTCCATCTCCAGGCCGCCTTTCCTCACAGTCCCTGAGATTTGCTGGGTGTGCTTAGCACATCTAACCCGTGGGGCATCTTTGAGACACTATCAGATACTGTCACAGTGGTCCAAGTTGAATTAGACTGACTCAGTGAAACTCTTTCTTTACAGAAAGCCCTAATTCAGCACCACTCTTGTTCTCATACCCTTTCATTGTTTATTGTGGTAAACTTGAGTGTCAGTAGAGACAGGATTTAAGCCTCATCTGAAGCGCCTGAGTTCTCTAAATAGTGGAATTAGACCAACCTTTTCTCAAGAGCATTTCCATGACCTCAAAGGCCATCTCAACTTTTTGGGATTTCTGTCAACTGCCTTTTATTGATCTGGGAAGGACCTGGAATGCCATCCAAACATGCTTTGTTTCATAGCTATTTGAATTGGTAAATATTCACCTGGCTTCTAAAAAAAGGAACATAAAGAGGCGTACGGTTCAAAGTCTCAGTCTCCTTTTCTCTTGCTCTCCTATCTCTACAGACAGTGCTATTTTTATTATATTTTTGTATACCTTTATCTAGTTTATAAGCTTTTTAAAGAGGAAGCAGTAATTGCCTTTCCAGAGATCTAAGTCCTCCCTGTGGAAGGAAACCTTTTTCCTTTTCCCAGGATTTGTTTTCTGCCCAGTCCTTAGGTCCAGCCTCATGAACCACCTAGTGGCCATATTAAGGCACTGCACCCAATGAGCAGCTTACACTTCAGAGCAAGCCTGGCTGGGTGTCTTGTTTAAGGGCAGGTTCTGATGAGGTCATCTAGGCTGAGGCCCAGGAAGTCAGTTTCTAGCAACCTCTCAAGTACTATCAGTGCTTGTTCTGCTCCCTGAGTAGCACAAAAATAGAGCCCAGCTTCCCCATGTTGGTTCCATGTTAGACTCTCCTAGAGATTTAGAAATGACTGTGCCTGCTTTCCTTGAGATTCTGGTATAGGCAGTGTGGATGTGGTTTAAGCTCCATAAGTCCCTGTAGTATGCAGCCAAGTGGAAAAGCACGTGCAAACACTTGCACTCATTATTTTTTTTTTTTAATTAATAGTGACTTCTTAGAAGACATCTAGAAAGTACAGCAGTTCAAGCCAAGTTCTGCCCACAAGGGTTGTGACTGCATCAGCCCGGGCTACCCAGTCCAGGCTGGAGCAGGACAGTTGTAGCACATACAGGCTTCTCCTGCTCATAACAGATGAGGGTCCTATTATGTTGGTCTAACTGGGGCTTTAGGCCTGTGCCACCATGTTCAGCTGTCACCTGAGTTTTAGTTCTGCAATAAGGCTTACTGAGTTTTTGGTACTGCCATGTTTAAAAATCAGAGCTAAATTAAAAGGATCTCCCCAGTTTGACTCTCTGGATGAATCTCTCTTCCCTTAGTATATTACCCAGACATTATAGTTTGCTATACCACCCGAACAGAAGAGTCCCCTTGGGATTTGAACCCCTGTGCTTGTTCACACCAGTAGTCACCCATTGCTTAAGTAACTAATTCACGTCTAAATTCTCTCCACATTTGAATGTTATCTGTGTATTTCCAGCCCTAGGGATACAGTAGTAAGTAAGCTTTACACATGAATGTTTGGCAGTCACAAATTAAAGTCAACAAGTCTAGCGACAGGAGGCACAGGGAGAGACAAGCCAATCAGGATGGTCAGAGCGGACTTCTTAAAGCGATGAGCTAAAACTAAAAGAGTCGAGCAGACAGCAGAAGTAACAAGTGGCCCAGACAGGACATGCAGGGTCTTTTATGGCATGTGCTTGAAACAAAGGAAGATCACTTGCAAGTGATGGGCAGTGGAGGCATGAAGCTGGGCTGGTAGCAGGAGTGAGTCCTGTATAGTGTTTCTCCTAGACCCCAGGAAGCATAAAGAATTAGAAGGAAAGATACAACAGGATTGGGTTTGGGTTTTGGATCATCACTGTGATGAGAGTGCAGGTGTCCTTGACCAGCTGTGCTGTTACTACTCATGCTGTCTTCCCTCTCCAGGAAAATCCCACCAGTGCCCTGTACCACATCACCTGTCTCTGCACGTGTTCCTCACCGGACAAACTCTGTGCCGACATCACAGGGTGGGATCAGCTATTTTGCAGCAGCCACTGTCTCTACATCCCCAGTTCTGCTGTCACCTACCTGCATCTCCCCAAATGGCAAATCGGTACCAGCTCATGGAACCACACTAAATGCACAACCTGCTGTTTCTGGGGCGATGGATCCTGTGTGCAGTATGCAATCCAGACAAATATCCTCTTCCTCCTCATCCCCCTCCACACCCTCTGGCCTCTCTTCAGTCCCTTCCTCCCCTATGTCCAGAAAACCTCAGAAGTTGAAATCTAGCAAGTCTTTAAGGCCCAAGGAGTCTTCTGGTAACAGCACTAACTGTCATGCCAGTAGCAGTGCCAGTGGCGGCTCAGGAAAGAAACGCAAAAACAGTTCCCCACTGTTAGTTCATCCTTCCTCCTCTTCATCGTCATCCTCTTCTTCTCATTCCGTGGACTCTTTTAGAAAAAACTGTATGGCTCACTTGGGGACTCCATTCCTGTCAACAGCAGCATCTTCTCACAGCATTGGCCTCAACTGTGTGACAAATAAAGCACACTCTGTGAGCCTCAGGCACGAGCAAACAGGGAGGGGTCCCCCTGGCGGGAGCCCTGCAGAGTCCATCAAGAGGATGAGTGTGATGGTGAACAGCAGCGACTCTACTCTTTCTCTTGGCCCGTTTATTCATCAGTCTAGTGAACTGCCTGTCAATTCCCAGGGCAGTTTTTCACACTCACACACTCCTCTAGACAAACTCATAGGAAAGAAAAGAAAGTGCTCACCGGGCTCTAGCAACATCAACAACAACAGCAGCAAGCCCACAAAGGTTGCCAAACTGCCAGCCATGAACAATGTCCATACGAAACACACCGGCACCATCCCAGGGGCACAAGGACTGACGAACAATTCCCTCCTTCATCAGGTAGGAAGTGGATTCTGATCCTTGGGGAGTGTCTGTTGCCTCTCCCTTGGGATCTTTTGACGGTTGAAAATCTGTGGTTGGGTGGGTTGATTGGTTTGCTAATAATATAGATGCCCACCTCCACGGCAGTCTTTAACAAAGGAAAGAGTCCGTGGGCATATAAAATGGAAAACAATCTTTGCAGAGGGCCTTATGACTTTCAGAGATGTTCCTGAGTACAGAAGCCACACCTCATTTAGCAGCTAGGGCTGAGGACCGCAGGAGGCTGACAGCAAAGCAAGAGTTCAAAGGGAGTCCTCTGCAGAGGCAGCACCTGCATCCTGATGTCTTAGATAAGGAAGCAGGGAGCACTGTCAGTTCTCACAGTGACTCTAGAATGTTCCCCTGCAGAAAGATGAGCTGCAATCAAACTGATCCAAGGAAGCAGTTACTTAAGACCTCAAAGGAAAGAGCTTGAGCGAGAGATTTTTTTCACCTTGAGCACTTTCAAATATTCTGGTTAAATTTCACCCGTATTTTCTCCTCCCTGTTTTCAAGGGAGGCAGGAAACAAGGTTCAGTGCGGGCATAGCTGAAGCCTGAAAATTTGTTCCAAGCTAATACCTTAAAAGACACTGAACTGTGCATTCAATAGCATTAGGGAGGTGGTGGCTTCGTGGGTGTTGGGTTCATATTTCCCGGGTCTGTCTTATGCCGTGTCTTTGTTTCTCTCTCTCTGCTGGTTTCTCCCGACTGTATGTCACGTAGCTGTTTCTTCAGCAGCTTTTGCTCTAAATTCCAGCTCATCTCTCATCTTGTTATTTCATTCATCAGGATATCTCCTCACCTTGCTTACGAACAGGAATTTCAGCAGCAGCACCCCAGAGCCCTGACTTAAAAAGTGAGGCTCTCTTTTATGTTGTTCCCCCCCCCCTCCCCATCTTCAGAACTTAAATGACAGGTTAGGGCTTTTTCCAGAATGTACCAAGGAGTTTCTTACTATGATATGACTTCCCTCCAATATTTGTGTGAATTTGCAATACCAAAAGTATTGGAGAAAATATCTGAATTTAAATAACTACTTACGTTATGGTATGTTGGTTGGTCTGGCCTTCTTGAGTATAAAGGTATTTGGGCCCATGTGAACCGTGTTTCTACTTATTTTGTAGTTACTTATGTAGCTATGATCCATATAAGATGGCAGTGCAAACACAGAAAGAAACAGTACACCTAGCCCCAAAACTGCCTCTGAGCAGAGTGTCTGATTGGGCCCGTGGGAGAGCTTGTAACATCCACCATACATTTGTAGCACAGTATATAGTGTCTTCGTGTAGACCTGTAGACCTTAATCCCTGCAGGTAAAGGGGCGAGATGGAGAATGGGGGTGGGCACTGGAGGGCAGCAGCGGGTAACAAGGATGGGAAGATGGGGGTGTCCTGCTGACATGGAGCAGCTGTTCCCCTGCCTTGCATCATTTTCAAAGAAACCGTGGAGCTAAACTTGCATGTGAAATTTGGCCCTTTTAAATTCAGAGTAGCAAACATATTTCTTGGACAAGTTTGGCTTAGGCTCTGCCAATTTGCTCTGCCTTTTACCATCTGGGGGGACTGTGCCCACTAAGAAGGCCTAGTCTTAATTTGGATTATGGGAATCAGTTTCAACTCAGGTTTATGTTAATAGAAGAATTTCTTCTGCTTAGGATACTTTTTATTTTACTTCACAAATCCTGGGGGGCCTGTGGCTTGCAATCAGAGGACATAGGTGAACCCTAGGAAGTATTGTCCAGCTTTGTCTGTGGGAGGGTCTCACAGCTTTCAGGAGAATCTCAAAGGAACCCATGACTTGAAGAATGCCATTCCTAGAAAGTAGAAACCTCAGTTTGCTCTGTTTCCTTGTGGAAAGGGCGTTAAGTGCTAATTGGGCTGGCTAATCTGTGAATAGGGAAGTGAAGTAGGAAACCAGAGATAGGAAGAATAGGCACTCACCCCATCCCCACACTCCCTGGAGTCTGTTCATGGCCTCTAGGCCTTAATAGGGGTATTGGGAAGGGCAGAGTTCTCCCTCTGCTGTAGTAGTGTCTTGGATGTGAGCTGTCACACCTCCGTGTCAGTACATGTAGCCCTGCCCTATTTCAGTAACAACCTGGGATACATTCAAGGACACAAAGCAAAAAAATAAATAAATAAAATTGTTTAGATGAAGAAGCAAACATGAGATCCAGAAGCCTAGACCTGTATCTCTTGTTGCCAATTTTCTGAAAGTAAATCTTTAGAAAGATTGAGCCCAAAGGCAGTGAAAGCTAAGGCCAGATGGTCACTGACCCTCCTTGCCGTACCAGATCAGTGAACTTTAGTGTGAGCAGACTTGGGGGTATCTTTGTAGAATCAGAATGGTGTTGAGCCATTTAACTTTAGTCTTCTCTCGTTTTCTCATCCCTTTTTCAAAAGCCAAAGGCACGTCCCTGACAGCTGACAGTACCACTGGAAGGAGTAATCCAGACACTTTCGAGGACAAGTTACACCTCCACTCAGCACTCTGGACTCCACGATGCCTTTGAGTCTCTTTTCCCAAACTCCTGTGGGCCTCCAGGGTAACCTGTGGCTGTTTTATGAGGATTTTTCCGAAGCTGTGTCTGTAGCAGTGAGTACTCATAAAGGACACTGGATCAAGTTCAGCCACCGGATTGCTTTTATCAGTGTTAAAGTGGTCTGGACTGCTTGCTACCAATCTGTGAGAAATCTGTTTGTGTGTGTTTGTTAACTTGCAGCATATCATGGAGCCACTCTTCAAGTAGACTGGCTGGGCAGAAGAATGTTTTGGAAAGAGCATTACTGTAAACTGCCCCTCCCCGCCTTCCCCCCCAGATCTTTTTTCAGTTTTGGTTTTGTTTTAACACACCATCTTCTGTAGCTCACTCTCCAGCAGGTAGGCACCTTAACTGGAGACTGGAGGCCTTGCAAAGGGTAGCAAATCGCATCCTGAGTAGCCTCCTAGGGAAGAAAATTGGCTTTAGGGTTTTCTAGCAGTGGAGTAGAGTATACGGGTGTTGGTCAGTGTCTCGTGACACAGTAGCCCAGCCTTTTGCAATTGATTTAGGATAAGAAGCATGTTATAACCTTCAAACTTTGGAACTGGTTTGAAGACATTGATGGCCGAATGGAAAGTGTAAACTATATTGAAAGTTTACTTTTCATGGTACAAAAGCAATTCTTTGTGATAAAGAGAGAAGAAAGAAAAACAGACAAAAAAACTAGTTTTGATAATGAAAAGCCAATTGAGGCAGTGGGTTAGGGGAGGTTAAAAAAAAAAAAAAGTAGGGCAAAACTTGAAAAATTTCCAAAGAGATGGACTTTTTTGTTAAAGTTTTCATGTTAAACAGTGTGTCAGATTGGGCTGTTGTCTTACTCGGTCTGCTTTTTAAGAACTGCCTTTCTGGACACCCTTAAATGCCCCCCAGGCATTACTCCTATTCTCCTCTTCGGACACTGCTTTAGTACAAGTGTACATTTCTGCTCCCAGTGCTCCTGGCACTGTGTGTGTGTCACACTTCCCTTCAGGCCACTACACGGTTATTTGGATGCATGCAGGCTCAAGAGCAGACCACAAGGAAGAGCAGTAGGAGAGCCTTGTGTGTGTGCCGTGAGCAGGCTTCCTGAGGTAACAGTGTTTACTCGTACACACCCTCCTTTCTTGGGGTCAATGGAGGCCATCTTCCCTCCTGACACTTGGAGCCCTCCCAAGATTTCTTTTTCAGTACCCCACTCAGAACATTCAATCTGTAGAACAGCATTGCTTGAGAAGGCGTCTATCAGTGAGTTTGGGATGGTCTGGAGCCACCGCCACAGCTCCTGAACAGAGAGCCAGGCCCTCTGGCTTAGAGGAGAGCACAATGGAGTGGTAGAATTCCCAAAGCTCTGGACAGTGCCTTGGCAGAGCCAGCCAGGGATCCTTTTCCCCTACAGTTCTTAGGTTACAAACTTCCATTTCAGGGAATTTCAAGTCAACAACAGGTAGAATGAATTATATACTTGGTTACTAGCCTAATAATGTGAATTGCTACAGACTTACTCTTATTATGTAAGAAAACAAAGACTTTATGCTGATACTTTAGCTATAAATTGATGTAAAATAACGATTTTTTTTTTTTAGGGAAAGGAGAACAGAATCTTATTCACTTATTATGCAATCAGTCAGTAAATGTTTTTAAGATGATGCTAGAGGAGAGCTCTAAGGAGAGAGCGTGAACGGGCCAGTGTGGAAGGTTAGGAGAGTCAGTCCGCTTCCATCCCAGTGGTAGGGAGAGGAGGAGATACAAGGGAATCAGAACTTACCTAGTGATTCCTTGCTGACAAGTGCAATGGGGTGTGGGTAGAATTTATTTTCAGAGCCAGGGGGACTTGATGGTTATAAATTAAGTTGCTTTTAGTGATGGAATTTATAGACAGGTCATGTTGTTCTGAAAGATGTGAATAGGATCCACAATAGCAAGTTTATTCAGAATAATGTAGATACTTAGATTAGTGAGTGTTGATCATTTGATTTCTTAGACTGGGGTTTTAATTGAATTTCATTATGTCTCCCGGTAATATACAGAGCCTCGGGATTAGGAAATTAGCCATTTTGGATTCTGCCTGCCACAAACAGACTTATTCTAAACAGTGCTATTAAATTTTAGACTGTTCAAATATTTTATTTTCTCTGACAGCTACTTTTTATGATAATGAACAATTAAGACCATTTAAACTACGGGAGTACAAATATTTTTTTTAATTAAATTAACTTGAAAAACCAAATTTGCAGTGGTTAGGTTGTTTCTAGACAGACTTTGGTATCAATTTAAAACCAAGATAATTTTTATATTCTTTCCAATAGAATTCATGACAACTTCTGCGGTTTTCTTAACCTACAAAAAAGTGCTGCAATGATGAACAAAGAATTATACAAAACCTACTTTTGTATCTTTATTTTGGGATTTCTTGTTCTATTATAAATATGGAAGTATCCCTATTTCAGAAGACATATTTTGTTAAAAATGAATTGTACATATTTAAATACGTATTTTTGCACAGGTCTTTTTTTCTGATACCCTGTTTTGGTACAATTGAGATCATCTAGTATTTATTTATTAATTAATAAAAATAAATACCTTTTTATAATTTGAAGTGGTTCACTGCCAAGCCAATAGTTCTAGAACCCACCTCCTTTCCAGTTGAAGGGATGCCTCTGTTCTGTGAAGTCTGTGTCCCTTAGTGTCTCGGAGTGACTCGTGCAGATGAAGTGGGCGTTGCTTCTCTCGGTTGCCTGATTTCCGGATAAACTACATGTAACTAAGTGACACACTGCTTTTCTTTTATTAGTTTTATGTGCGAGTGTGTGTGTGTGTGTGTGTGTGTGTGTGCGCGCACGCGGGTGCGTGTGCCTGTGTGTACACTCTGGGTACACGTGTTATTAGTATGTGATATGGTTTAAAGTTAATGGGAATAAAAACTGAAAGTGCCTGAACCTAGTTCTAAGCTTAGACAGATTCTCTTTACAAAGACTTGAATGTTCAGTTTAACTTCTGGAGTTTGCTTTTTCCACCTAAATATTATTTCTAAAATTTTAGGGGAGGAGTTACCAAGGCTGGTAATTTTTATAAGGTATTTTAAAATTAAAACCTTTTTGTTCACAGTAATTCAACTAGTGATGGATTGCCCAGTGGCACCAAGGGTTACAAATCTTTGTCAGCCAGCAACCTACAGGATGTGTCCGTTTTGTTATTCATGAAATACAGAGTTTAAGATAGAATATTTAAAATATTTTGTATTCCAAGAAAATAATACAAAGAAGTACCTCTGAGAACATTGAAAAAAATGTATAATTTGAAAAAAATGTAACATACAGGCAGCTGTCTTCCTGTAAGAGTTCTGTTGCCAAGGAATTTCTTAATTTCTCTCATTCTGTCCTGGGGGTGGGGGGATGGGCTTTGAAAGATGATTGTTAAAAAGTTTCATTGTTTAGAAGAACATAATCCTTTTTAAATTTTGTGTAAGACATTTTACCTTTGCAGATCCTTTAAGTGAGCACTGCATCCTGTCAGTGTGACTGTAGGGCCTTGAAAGAATTGTGACTTTTTTTGAGCTTGGTTATAAAAGCAATCTCCTGTGTTAAGACGTGTGAATAGTTTGATAAATATGTACACATCATCAAGAGCATCTCAGCTGGACTTTGTGGGCTGCTGTACAGAACATGAACAAATGTCAAGGGATAGAAAATTACTTTGGATATTTAAAAGAGAAGAAATATATAGTCTATTTGTTTTGTAACAAGTTTCTGTAAATAAAATAATTTATACTATTTATAAGAAAAAGTTGTGCTTTGCTTTATGAGAAATTAGTTTGTGGAACAAACATGTTACTAAATGGGCAATAAAATTAGGATTTCTCAATAAATAAGGTTGGTTGCATAAACTATTTTACATGTTTCTGCCTCATTGTGGTACTAAACAAACCCTTTCAGTCTAGTATCTTTTCCATCATTTCCTAACATCAGACATGCTTCACTTTAGCCTCCCTCCAGTACAAGCTCAATTCTTTAGAGGCTTTGGGTGTTCCCATTCTTGGCAGAAAGCTTTGCCTTGATGAAATCAGTTACTGTATGAACAGTGGACACTGCTGTGTTCTGGCCCAGTTTGTGAAGGAAAACAAAAGGAAGGTGTCAGTTTAGAAACACATTCTGCTTAAACTTTCTCAAATATAAGTTTGATAACATGTAGTCAATTTGGGTTAGAGTTTTTCAAATCCAGAGCTCCCTTACTGGCAACTTAACTGCATTTTATTCAGAGTACAGCATAATTTTATAGGTCTAGAAATCTGGCCTTTTACTATTTGCAAATCATATTTTGTTGTTGCTTAACAAAAGCAGCTGACTTGTGTATTGGGAAAAGTATCTGTACGACACATGAAATTGCCGTGCTGGATTAACCCTTCATTGCTTCACCGACTGGTCAGTTTCTTTTCCGATTAGCCAGAGAATTGACCCAGTCATAATGAGTTCCCTGTGGGTAAATCTTTTCACTGTGAGTGCCCCCAGACCTTCAGAGACAACGCTCAGCCACCCAATTTCTTACCCTTTGACTACCTTCCTTCACAGGTAACCTGGCTCCGATGGCAAGAAAGCCTGGGGATTTCACTGGCAGAAACGCATGGTCAGATCACTCTGGGAAGAGGAAGAAACTGACAAAGGAGGGAAGCAGTACGGAGAGGCATTCTTTGTGAAGCTTGCTGGACAGGAAGTGTTGATAAAGCTGGGCACGTCGCTGTCAGATTCTTGAGGACCTTTGTCCTCAGGAACAGATGGGAGCAGGTCCATACCAACCAAGAGCGACCACTGAAGCCCAGAGCTACTTCTGATATGTGCACCTGGCCACTTTCTCTTTGCTGGAAGTCAAAGGCATGCTCAACTCCTCCGTACTTCCCAAGTTCTTGCATTGCCCCTCTGTGCTTCCAACGTGTATTTCCTCCCACCTCCTAACAGAAAGCTGTCCCCGGGCCAGCAAGGTGGCTGCCAGGCCAGATGACCGGAGTTTGATCCCTGGGACCCACATAGAACTCCAGTGTCCTCCGACCTCCACACATGCACCATGGCATGTATTCATTCTCATTCCCTGCCCTTCCTCCCACACACAGGTAATAAAAACATTCCAAAAGCTGCCTCTTAAATCAGACCCAAGGTCTTCCCTGTTCTCACCCACCTCTTCTAAGAAGCCCCTGATGGTATTGTTGCTAAAAGCAGTTCATTAAGTTAGACTTGTAAAGCTGATTTTTGGTCCTTGTTACCCTCATTTTCTACAACCAAAGTATGTGTATCAAAGTAGATGCCACTGTAATCTCTTCGGAGATGTAGATCATGTGACTACCAACCTGAGTAGAATTTTTCAAGAGGGAGGAGAGAATCAAACCCTCTTAGTTTTTTTTCTTTAAAAATATCCTTCACTAAGCTGGGCATGGTGGCACACACCCTTAGTCCCAGCACTTGTGCAGCAGAGGCAGGCAGATCTCTGTGAGTTCCAGCTGGGGCTACTGGGAGACCCTGTCTCAAAAAAAGACATATAATATATATATATATAAAATCTCCTTCATTTATAGCATTCCAGTAACAACTGAAGGCAGAATGAACAGGGAAAATCCCTGGACAAAAGTGAATTGTAAAGCTGTTGCAATAATCCAGTTAAGAGCTGCTGAGTTTCTAAACAGGCTGTGATCATGGGCTGGAAGAGGAATGATTCTAGAAATCTTTTCAAGGCCTCAAGTCTAATTATGTTCAACATTAAAGAGAAACCAACCAACCAACAAGCTTTAAGTGAAACATGTGACCTGATACAGCGAAGGGAAAAGCACACAGTAGACGGAAGTTGCCAGTAGGAAATTCAGGTTAGTACTAGGGTGGCTGCAGTCGGGACAGAACTTGGAGTTAGTGTCTTAAGTTGTGTTCGTGGCTGAGAAAAACAGGTAGTTGTTACTGTATCTGGCTTATTATTTTGCTTTAAACATCATACTCCTTTAATTTTTATGTGTATGAGTGCCATGCTGGCATGTGTTTATGTGTACTCGTAACACGCAGTGCCCACAGAGGACAGAAGAGGGTGGCAGATCCCCTGGAACTGGAGTCAAGGACAGTTATTAGCCGCCATGTGAGTGCTGGGATTTGGACTCAGTTCCTCTGCAAGAGCAGCCAGTGCTCTTAACTGCTGAGCCATCTCTCCAGTCCCTTAACATATTTTAAGTCCTTAATATGCCAGATGTTTGACACCGATATTACAAAGAAAACAAAAATGTTTTAGCTTTGTGCCACTTAACCACAAAATTTACCACCAGTCCAATTCTGTGAAGGGCTTTTTTGACTAAACAAAGACTCTAAAACAAGTTATCTGAATTAAAGTTACCATAGATCAGGGTTAAGAATTATTTGGCTAAATTTGCCTGGGAGATTAATGCAGTGGGTGCTGACCTATCGGCCTCCCAGCTATAATATAGGGTAGTAATACACAGATAAACTCAGTTGCCAGAGTGTGCCAGACAGACAAGTAGGACCTGGAATCTGGGCATGAAGAGTATGTACCACTTAGCTTAGTGAATCCAGAGTTAACATCCCCTACTTTTTCTAGAGAAATAAGACGTGATTTTATTATTTTTATGTGCATAAATGTTATTGCCTACATGTGTATAATTGCACTGAATCCCTTGGAACTGGAGTAATGGGATGGCATTAGCTACCATGTGGGTGCTGAGAATTGAACCCACGTCCTCTGCAAGAGCAGCCAAATGCTAACTGCTGAGCCATTTTTATGTCTGTATTGCCTGCGTGTAGGTAGGTGCACCCATGTCCTGTAATGCCCACAGAGGACACAAGAGAGCACTGGATCCCCTGGAAGCCATGTGGGTGCTGGGAATCGAACCCAGGTTCTCTGCAAGAGCAGCCAGTGCTCTTAACCGCTGAGCCATCTCTAGCCCCTAGACATGATTTTTTAAGAAGCTCTTGTCACCGTTTAGATGCTGGAGACCAGAGTCAGCTTGTGGATGACCAGCATGCAACCAAGGAGTCTCCCCTGCCTTGCTAGCTTTAATTTTCTGTGGCATGTAGGGCTGTGAACTTGGAAATTTCCTTCAGAGGCATAAGTTTCAAAACTAAAAGGGCAAAAAACTATTAAAACCAAGGTTTGAAATTACCGTTCTGTGTAGTAATCCTAACATACATTTG